TATGTTTTCTATATGTATCCATCTTAATTCTTCCATTATTTCTCATATGTATCCTAATCCCCTCATTAGTCTGGGGCTCCTTGAGGGAAGGGACATTTCCTCCTCTGCATTGCACAAAAATCAACACAGGTGCCAGGCGTGGTAGTGCACACCTGTAATCCTAGAGACTTAGGAAGTTGAGGCAGGAAGATCAAAAGTTTGAGGTCAGCCTCAGCAACATACTGGGGCCCTAAGCAACTCAGTGAGACCCTGTCTCAAAATAAAAAATAAAAAATGCTGGGGATGTGGTTCAGTGATTAAGTGCCCCTGGGTTCAATCCCCAGTACCAAAACCCAAACAAATCAACACAAATTGAACATATTCAATAAAAAATGCTAAGTGCTTTTCTCATGGTTAAAATGTATCTACACGGGGCTGGGGATGTGGCTCAAGCGGTGGCGCGCTCGCCTGGCATGCGTGCGGCCCGGGTTCGATCCTCAGCACCACATTCAAACAAAGATGTTGTGTCCACCGAAAACTAAAATAAATATTAAAAAAAAAATGTATCTACAGCTAATTCCCTCCTCCTCAGAGTTCTTGGATGCCAAAGTGCTGCCATGACCTCTTCTCTGCTGATATGAAAGACTTATGTTTTCCCTCAAATTTATTTGGCTCTACCCTTATCTTTTTAGAATCTCCAAATCATCTTCTTATTCCTTGACCAATGAACACTGATATTCACATGGAAGAGTATGTCTCTAGTTTAAAGTCTAGTTCTTGGTAGGTAACTAATGAACACATATTGAGTGAAATAATAAAAGGCCTACTTTCTACCATCAAACAGATTATATATGTTCGGGCTTTAGGACCCATTGAAATGGGTTAGAACCCAAAAGCCTCATTAAGTTACTAGTCCCAAATGTAATAGTTTTGAGATATTTCAATTTTATTTAAAAGGACCAAGAATCAGGGCTTTGCAAAAAGATCTTGTTAGCTGTAATTTCACTGACTTGACTCTCCTTTGGCATTGCTTGTTGGTGGCTGCAAGCTCTGCAACCTACATACCACTCAGGCTGGGGTTGGCATACCCACTTATTGTGGTSGCTTGCCAAAGTAGGGAAAGGATCTATGGGGGAAGAGAGGTCAGAGTCCAAGGAATCCTGAGGCAGCACATAGTCTTACCGCATCAAACTCTGCTTGATCATCCTCAGGTAGGTCGCTGGTTTCATAAACATCTGGTTCGTTCCTGGCCTGCAGGTAGAAGCAGTGACCACCCAACCTCACTACCTAGCATCCACCAACCTCTTACCCGACTCCATTTGAACAAACTAATGGAGAAGGCAGGGTTCTGCGATACCAGGATTCTGTTCTTTCTTCTCCATCTGCCTTACTAATGGCATGTCAGTTCCCTTGTCTCAGTGAAGTGGGGGTGACAGCGAGTACAAATGGGACCTAAGGATAAACAGTGAATGTGATAACAAAGATGTTATCCTGAACTTGGACAGGAAGGGTCCTTGGTAATCATTCTGTCCAAGATAGGTGAGGACCTTCCTCGAATTAGGTCCCTGTGATATGGGTGACTCAGGACCTTAATTCCTAAGGTTCTGTGCCCCAACCCCCACCCCGAGAATACAGGCAGGGGAGCACAAAAGGAGGGTACACTCCAACTTGTTCATGAGGAGTGAGGGGCAGACATAGGTCCCCCAAAAGACAGAATTTCCATCGGGCACAAGAACGGTTCTGCCATAGTAAACCTCTTCCTTTGGCAGGATGAAGACCGTCACCAAGTTGTCTGGTGAGTATGTCCAGGGTAGGGATGGGGGGCTTATTGGGAGATTTGGGGGAGGCACGGGTGGTGTCGACACGGATGGCAGAAACACTYGGGCACAAGTGGTAAACACCCTGACGATTTCTGGGCCGAGAAACCGGCGACTGCCGGAAAGGGGGCCTGATGCGCCGTCCGACGGCCAGGCCCAGTCAGGTCAGAGGAGTCCGGAAGGTGCTGCAGCCGGTCGGGGAGAGCGGCAGGAGCCCTTGGGGCGGAGGAGGGGCTGCAGGCGGGAGGGGTCATGGGTTGGTTTCTGTTGGGGGTCCTTGGGAGGTCGGGGGCGCGGTCCTGGGAAGCCAGGGCCGGCCCTGTACTCACAATGCCGGGAAGGTCGGCGTATTTAGGGTCCGCCATGGCGGCGGCGAGGCGGGGCTGGGGGACCGGAGCCTCGGTGGAGCCGGGGCGGGTGATCGGGTAGGGGAGAGATTGGGTCCGGGTCCCCAGCTAAGGCGGCGGCAAAGGGAGCGGCAGAGGAGCGGGAAGTCTCGCGACAGGAGTAGCACACCAGAAGGGTAAAGCAAAAGTCGCGAGAACACCCCGCTACCACACCCCTAGAGACGGTGGGATTGGCGAGAGCGAGGCCAAGCAATGAGGTAATGGCGAGGATCGTCGCCTAGAATTGTGGGATATGTAGTCCTGGCTCTCTGGAGCTTGGGTGGGGAATGCACCTTAGGGAGCTATTTCGTTCAACTTATTTCCTTTAATTTTTACATCAAGTCTGGAAAAGAACTTTTTTAATTCCAGTATTGGACTCCCAGGAATTAGTGACGAGATAAAATCAAGTAGTCATGTCGTGAGGGCTTCAAAAAACAATAGTAATAAGTAAAATTTAGTTAAGGCTTAGCATGTTTGGAATGGAAAAGTTAAGCAGTCTTCTTAAGTTAGGACTGTTATATAAAATACAGGACATCTAGTTAAATTTGAATTTCAGATAAAAACTATTGGTGTTTTGTTTGGTTTTGCTCTGTTTTGTCCAATATTTGAGACACATAAAATTGCTTACCTAAAATTCAAATTTAACTAGATAAATTGCTTTTGTTTTTGTTTTTCAAGTTTGGAAATCCTGTCTAAAGTTCACAAATGGATAAATGACGGTTCTGAGTCTGTCTAAATGCTCTCTATCCTCTTAATCATTTCATTAATAGTTCCCAGACTTCTGAATTTCGCGGTTCAATAAAATTAAAACAACATACCTTTCTTAAGGATACACATAGTGAAGCTATATTTTTAATTTACCAGGTAAATATATTACAAATAGAAAACCTACAAGATACCATTGCTACTATTACTTGGTAGAAAAGTAAAAGGACAAATTCTTAGAGTAAAAGTCCTTTGAGACTCAACAAATCCAGCTTTATGTGAAACTCACTACATTGTTCTTTGGGGTTCAGACACACCCATTAAACTTTTCTTTCTGACTAGTGACACCTTATGGACTGGCATTTTGCAGCTCCTTTGCTAAGGATGCCACCTTATAGCCCCTGATGGCCTGAAGTTGGGATGTTTCCTGAGTTTGCAGGATGCTGCAACTCAGAAATATTGCCAAACCAAATGACTGGAGAGTTCCTGAGTTTGGAACTCATTGTGTTCTCTCTCCTGGCTCCTCCCCAAGCCTCTGCCTTTTTCTCCCACAGACTACTGCCTTCTTATTCAGTTGCTTCTGCTGGATCCCCTTCCTTCATTTTCCTTAAGATTTAAAGTGGGTTAGAATGTAGGTCTAATATGGGTAACCTCCTCATTTGAGTGGGTTTTTTKGGGGGGAGGGGTACTCAGGATTGAACCCAGGGGCACTCAACCACTGAGCCACATCCCCAGCTCTATTTTGATTTTATTTGGAGACAGAGTCTTGAGTTACTTATCACCTCACTTTTGCTGAGGCTGGCTTTGAACTTGTAATCATCCTGCCTCAGCCTCCCAAGCTGCTGGGATTACAGGTGTGTTCCACTGTGCCCAGGCCTTAGTAGAGTTAGGTCTTATCTGACCAGGCCATTAGCCTCTTACCCTTGTCCCATAATGTCTTAAGTGACTGTAGATATTGACCAATTTCTAAATAGAACCTACATTTCTTCCTCCCTTCTCCCATCATGCTGCTCCTCTCCTTCGCCAAGAGTCTCAACTTCTGCAATCCACTTCTGTGTTGGCTAAAAGAGGCCTGTGATGTGGATAAAAATCAATTTGGGCAGCTTCTGGATAAAAAGCAATTTGGCCAGCTCCTGGATGGTTCCGCTCAGGAGCTGCAGCAGGAGTCTGACTCAAGTGCAGGAAGGACAAGGAACCTCTGGGTGTTTTGTTTTGTTGTTTCCAGAGAAAGGGGAGAAGCAGTGAAGAAAGGGGATGGGGTGTTGGGTAGGGACCCATTGGGTAGGGTCCCTACCCCCTACCCAATGGTAACTTCGACTAGAAACAAACATTCACATTAGGTGCCTAAGACTACTAGAAACACAAATGCAGATGTTTGCCCTAAAGATTCTGTCAAAGTCCCTCTAGCCTTACCCACTCTCAACACCATCCCCCTATTCTTGCCCACCACCATCCTAGTCCCAACCTATGAGGCAAAAATGAAAATTTGGTCTGCTTTTAAATTCTGATAGTCCAGAATGGGAGTTTGTCTTGCCTCAACCTGGGGACCTGGTGTGTATGTTGGGAAGAGAAAAGAGTGCACTTTTGGATGTAGAAGGGGAAGGAAGAAACAGATCCTCCTTTGACACTTGCATATGACAATGGGATCTGGATACCCATTTCCACAGGGGTTCAGACAGTTGTCTTTGAAAGCTGAATGGGTTTGGAGTTCAGCTTTTGTGCATCTGTGGGGGGAGGGGAACGAGAAGAAATGTGTTCCCAGATTGGAGAGAGTACTGTAATGAGACTGGGGGATGCACTGAAATAAAAGGACTGGAAGTCTTGTGGACCTTCTTCCCTAGACAGGCAACAGGCCCACCTCAGCCCCCGCCTCATCCCTCCCCGGAGGTGGAGTCTGAGGGAAGAACAAACAGGTCGGGGGCGTGGGGGTGGAATGCTGTGAGCTAGTCCGGTCGGGAAAGGGTGAGGGCAAGGTTATCTTCCGGCATTTGGGGCGGGAGAAGAAGGCCAGAGTGAGGCCAGGCCCCACCTTTCGGTGGTCCAAGACAAGCAGATTGCCCCCTACGAAGGAAGCCCCGCCTTTACTGCTCGGTCGCGCCCCGCCCAGGCCCGCAGCGCGGCTGCAGCGCGAGGGGCGGAGAGGCAGTGCACGGAGAGAGGACCAGACGCCCAGGTTGCCTGCATCTCAGAGCTGCAGTAGACTAAACCGCTCCCCGGCCCTGCTCCGCCGCCTCGTCCGGGCGCCCCAGCTGCTTTCTCGGCCCCAGCGATCGAGCACCTGTCCTCCGTCTTGGTCTCAGCTGAGCGACCCCTCCTTCGGAGCACACACCATTCCTGCAGCCTGAGAAGTGCCCCAGCTCTACTTGGCGACCACCATGGCGGAGACTAACAACGAATGCAGCATCAAGGTTCTCTGCCGATTTCGGCCCCTGAACCAGGCGGAGATTCTTCGGGGAGACAAGTTCATCCCCATTTTCCAAGGGGACGACAGCGTCGTTATCGGAGTGAGTGCTGCTACCGGACGGAATTAGGGGAGGGGCGGGAGGCTGAATCTTCCCCCCCCCCCCCCGTAGAATCTTAGCCTTTGCTTGTCACTCTGTACTCCATCCCCGCCGCTCAATCACCATCCTATTCGCCGCAGCCCCTCCTTTTTCTCCCCTGCATCAGGATGGCTGGGTGTGGCCTGGCTAGGCCTGCAGCCAAGTCTCTGCAGAGTGGGAGGGGGTCCCTTCCCCATCAGGAGACCCTACTCTCGGTGGCTGGGAGCAGCCACATCCCCACCCCTTGGAGCCAGTCCCGTGTTTTTCTGATGTTTTCTCCCCCCCCCCCCCAGAAAGCGCATTTTCCCTTTGTTATTGGCTTAGGTCTTTACCCCCACATCCTAGGAAGGGAGGGAGAAGATAGTGGATGGGCTAAAAGGGAGATGGGTAGTCCAGGTTCTCTGTGGAGGTATGAATGGGAGTGGGCTCTAGGTCCAAGCCCTCCATTTTCCCCTAAAGTAGTTACCGTCTGTACTTAGAGGATTGAGGTCTGATGAAGGGTTTTATGGGAAAGAAATATATTGATGCCACACCCAGTTTCCGAGAAGCCTCTGGAATTCTAAGGACCTATCTGCCTTTCCATCCCAGGTACAGTAGGAAGAGGATTTCAGACTTCCCAACTGTACGCCCTAAATAAACATATCCAAACCCTGAGATTGTAATGCATACTTGCTTATTCATCCTTGCTCTTGATCCAATAAAAAGTAGCAGTTGACCTCTACCTCATCATGACAGCCCTTACCCATGGAGGAGATCTTAAGAAGGAGAATTAGTATTTATTTTTTACTTATTACTCTATGTAGAGTATTAAATCTTCAAAAAACACTCTAAAGTAGTATTGATATTTCCATTTTACAGATGAGGAGATTGAGGCCAAAAGAAGTTGAATGACGTTCTCAAGGTCATGCTGAGAATCCATAGATCTGAATCCAAGTTTGTGAATCACACCTTTTCCTTCATATCATATTGCCTTCCCACATTTCCATTCTGGACCTTCTTCTGTGGCCCAAACGGAGTTTCTAGGCTTTACCCACTCCACCTTTTCCAGGCTGTGTGGGTAGTGAAGAGGCCTGGGGTCAAATCCTATAGGGCTTGGGGGTGCTGGGCTAGGAAAGTCTTGCCAATTTAAGAAGGAGAGGCATGTATGAGGACAATCTTCAAGGTCAGGGGTGCTTCTTATGTATCTTTGATTCATAGCGCTTGAAACAAAGCACCTGGAAACATGCCGTTAAAGGAATGAGGGGAAAAAAGGGAAGGATGCCTGGGCCTTCTGAGTCAGTAATAGGAGTTTCATACACAGGCTTTAGGGAGGGCTCCAAGCTCCCACCCCCAGCCCGTCACCACCCGCACCCACTCTCTGAACTCCAGTGGTGCTTTTGCCTTGTCATGTATGTTTATAGATATGTATGTGAGTGTGTGTGTAAGAATATATGTTTGACATAAGAAGAGGACCTCTGTTTCTTTTGCCTCAAGGACCTCAGGCCTTGTAGTCCGATCAGTCAAGTTTGGCCAGTTTAAAAGAAAGCCCATATCAACCCTTGGGGGCCCCCTCTCTAAGTAGCTAGAACAACAGGCCATGGTAGTTGGAGCTTGGGGTCTGCTTGAGGTATTAAGGCTGATAAACAGGAGCTGGCTGTCATGACAAGCAAATCCACAAAAGGTTTTTACTTTTAAGTGTGACTTCCTTGTTTTGGAAGGATTTTCCAGTAAGTCTGAGGTGACTCCTTTAGGCTGTTTGGGCTATCTTGGTGTGTGGGATAAGTTAGACGTGTTGAGAGGAGGGATTGAGGTATTGATCTGTCCAGTCAGTCCAGCAAAACAGGAGAGACCCTGTTGGAGATGGGATAAAGGAGAGATGGAGAGAAGCCAAGGCCCCTGCTGATTTAGATTCTATCTTAGCTCCACAGCCAATGTTTTCTTGTCTATTCTGCCTGATATCTGTGGGTATGTACCTTTGTCTCACTCTGTATCTTCTCTTGCCTTGGCCTTCCTGTCAGTCCCTCACTTAAGATAAATGTTTGCAGGGGGCCATTTTGTCTCAGGCAATATCCCTGGAGCTTTCCTTTTAGGACTTACTATTAATTCTTCATTCGGGGGACTGAGGGCTATAGGAGTCATAATTGGTATTTTTTGGCACTGGAGATTTAACCCAGGATGCTTTACCCACTGAACTACATCCCCAGACTTTTTCATTTAATTTTATTTTTTTAAAATTTTGAGACAGAGTCTCACTAAATTGCTGAGGTCCTCACCTCAGCTATTTAGTTGCTGAGGCTGGCCTTGAACTTGTGATCCTTCTGTTTCAGCCTCTCAAGTTGCTGGGATTACAGACATACACCACTGTGCCTGGCAGGAGACATGGTTTTGAGATCCTTGAGGGTCCCAGCGAGGGAATGATATCTCCCACCTTTTTTCCTCTTCTGATCCCTTTTGGGCCCAGTGTGTGGGGAACTGTCTGAGGAACAGTGGAGGAAGCTGTTTCAGGATGTCTGGGAAGGTGAGGGAAGACTGAAAGAAAGAAAAAAGCAGAGCTCTGCTTTTTCCTGTGACAGCTTTTCCCTTCACCTCTGCTGCACTGCGGCTGGCTTGGGCTTTGGAGGCCCTTATGTTCTTGGGCTTTGTTCTCTTTGCAGAAGGTGGAAGGATAAGTTGGAGAGAGAGCTGTGTGTGCCCTATTTTCCTGCATACCTCTGACTTCTCCAAGGAATCTGGGGGCTGGGGGTAGCCAAAGTCATAGTGGTAGGATGTCTGGGTCGCAATGTGGTATATGTCTTGCTTTGCTTTTTGTACACTTAGAATCCAGTGTGCCTTTTTCACTGAACCCATTTAAGTATTTTGTTCATTCTCTGCATTGTTTTTTTCTCATCAGTATCCCAGTGCTTAACTGCCTGGGTTGCTGTATCCATGCCAGGTCTGGAGCAGATGACATTGAGAACACACACAGACACACACACACACAATTACACTCCCTCTCCCTCTCCTGCGTTCAAGTGTCCACAGATTACCCACCTACAGTCTCCCAGAAGTTAAGAGGGTTCTTAAGGATGCAAGAAACCAGGAACATCAAGTACTTTGTTTAGAAAAGCTAGACTGGACCTGCAGTATTAGTGGAACAGAATTTGCTTGGTTTAGGGTGGCCTTGGATTCCTTTGATATCTGAAAAGTGTGGGGGAGTCTCATTAAGGAAAATGGAGAGGGGAAGTAATGATCACTGTGGCCAGTGTCTGTCTAGCATTTCCATAGCAACAATCCCCAAGGGTGTCACCATGGAAATCGAGGCTGCTGCTTCAAGTTTGGGTTCTACCAAGTATTTTATTGAGAGTTGAACAGCTTGGTCATCTTTGAGCCCCTGATCTTAGGTCCCCCATTAGCTTTAATCAATACACATGATGAAAAACTATAGCACTCTGCTGGACCTTTCCTGCACAAATGGACAAGGAGACAACAAGAAAGCTTGGAGTGGGTTAAAGGCAAACAGAGCCCAGATTGACAAAGAAGAGAGGCCCTCTGGAGAAGGCTATGAGGAATGCCAAGCCTGCAGGGCTGGAAGAGATATCTGTCTCAGGGGCATTCCTAAAAGGTAGAGAGAATCCCAGAGTATTTCTAATGGAACAAGTCTTTTGGTCTCTGACACYATGCCAACTTGCAGGGCATTCGATTACTTAGAGGGGAAGAGGGTGAGGGTCGCCCTCTGAAAGGATGGGTGGGAGAAATGCATATTTCTGAAAATGGGGTTGAGATTGGAAAAAGGGAGTGATGAAAGACTTAGTTCCATCTGGAAATACTTGGGGGAAATGCCCAAAAGGAAGGAGAATGAAAAGCCATGATAAGGATCTTATGCAGGGTTGACATTGTGGTTCTCTGATCACTTTGGGTGTGGGTCTGGAATCAGATTGCTTGAGTTTAAAACTGTGCCCTACCGTTTCTCAGGTATGTGAAAGTGGGCAGACTAACTGACCTCAGTGTTCTCATCTGTAAAATGGGATAATAATAGCACTTGCTTCCTAGGATTATTGTGATCATTAAATTAACTAATACATATAAATGTATTTTTTTTATATTTTTAGTTGTAGATGGACACAATACCTTCATTTTGTTTATTTAGTTTTTTTTTTTTTATGTGGTGCTAGGGATCAAACCTAGTGACTCACCCATGCTAGGCAATCACTGTACCACTGAGCCTCAACCCCAGCCCAACATATAAATTTCTTAACACAGTGACAGACACAGAATAAGTTATCTCTCAATAAGAGTTAGATGTTAAACCCAGCATGGTGATGTGTATTTGTAGTCTTAACTCTTCAAGAAATGAAGGTTAGAAAATTATTTGAGACCAGCCTGGAMAACATAGTGAGACCCTGTCTCAAAGAAAAAAAAAGTTGGGTGGGAAGTTAGGTGTTATTTTTATTTATGCTGTCTCCCTCCAAGCCAAAAATTGGAAAGTGGTTAACACTTTTCCCTCTTACAGGTAATTTTATCTAACCTCCAGGTCCATAGTATCTTCTTTCTTTCTTCATAAGCATCTATGTTTATTTGACATATTTTTATGAAGAGTGTCCTGTGTGCCAGGGACTTTGGGGATTTGGAAGGAATTTCTGCCTTCAAGAAACTCTGGATCTAGGTGGTGATCCGCAATCTCCGAAATGGCCTGGGCAGAGGCGGAGAGAAGGAAATAAGAAATGGTCTTTGCTGAGCTGGACACAGTGCCTCACATCTATAATTCCAGCAATTTGGGAGGCTGAGGCAGGAGGATCGCAAGTTGGAGACCAGCCTCAGTAACTTAGTGAGGCCCTAAGCAATTTAGCGTGTCTTTGTCTCAAAATTAAAAAAAAAAACAAAAAAACTTGCTAGCTATGTGTATGTTCCTCTATATTCTGATAAGGAATCCCCACCATATACTACAGTTTGATTCAGAGTAATAATGAAAGATGTAAATAAGAGTGGTTAATCTAGAGGCAGAAAAA